TATGCCTGGAATTGGCAATGCAGTTTCCCGATTTCTGCCTCTTTATTAATTACTAATACTTTTGTTTTGAGCATTAACTTCCTAATTAATTATCAAAGTCTTGAGATGATTTCACAATTGGAGATGAACTGGCTTTACATATATCTTGTCATCTAACAAGAGATTTAGCTTGTCTACCAATACCGTCAACGATTCCTTTTCCATGTGAAATTGCAAAGTACTTCCACAAAAATGTTTCATTAAATTTGTCACTGAACTGTTTCAAAAATTCATCTATGAATCTGTTTTAAAATTTAGAATACGGTCCATCGCACCATATGACTTCATCAACCTCTGGAATATATTCTGCACTTGGTTATACAATGTCATACAGTTCTGAAAAAAGCAGATGCAGTATATATTTTTTCTTTAAATTATGAATTTGAACATATGATAGATGTTTAGTATTTTCCATTAAATGTAGAAGCTGTAGTGAATCATGTTACACTTTCCCTGTTCCTTAGAACACTATGTACGAGACTACATTTTGATGTTCACAACTGTAGTTCATTGCAAAATCTCTCTCTAATGTGCGTGTCATTTGTTTGTCCATGTTCAACTGCTGTGATTCAATTATTTTGGTGTCAATTCGTAGCACCATATGTTTAAAACAATAGTTGATCTTTTCTAGTAATTCACCAGCACATACTTCTTTCACAAAACACTGGAGTCTATTTTGGTAGGGTTTTTTCACTCTTCCCATGTAATGGACATAGCAAATTCGAGTGGTCTCTTTAGACCCAGTGCAACATTTATTGCATTGCCCTTTCTAGCATTGAAAGTTCATTACATTGTTGCAAAGAATGACTTTCCAAAATGTGCTGGATATTTTATGTTTAGAGGGTCTAATTTCAAAAAAAGTTATCACATGTACTGTATTTACACTGGTCAGTAGGTGGCGAGGCGAAGGCTCAGGTAATTTTTGTTGTACTGTGAGAAAAGCAACCTTGATTCGCTCTGATTTGACAGTTGCTGCATAAATTACTCTCAACTGCCATGCATTTAAAAGTAAAACATTACAAAACAGAGAGAGTGATTTAGGCTCATCTGTGTAATGGTATTTAAATAATATCATGCCCTGACCTCCCCAACTAACCACCCACGAGTACCACCCACTCAACCTCAGAAAGGCTGCTGAATGAATGCTCGTAAAGAGCTTTGGTAATCTCAGGAAGCAGTATATTTCGGGTGTGAGAAAGTATACCCAAGACACAGAAGTTAGGTAAAATCAGTGCATATATTCTTTAAACATTTTGACACACATAACAAAGCACTAAAATAATAACCATGTAACACATTCAGAATCACACAAATCACGAAACTCCCCAAATACACTCTCCAGAATCAGTAAATGACAATCCTCAATGACACTGAAGCACCTTGAACTGACAAAACCTGTGATGCTTCTAGCACCGTGCACGGTTGCTACCAGATATTATGCTAGCAAAAGATTGCGTATTATCATGTGAAATTTTCTTCACCCTCTTTTCTTCAAACAAAAAATAATTCAAAATAAATTTATTTCGAAAAATTTTACAATGAATTTTAACATTACCACAATAAACACAATAGTCAATAATTTTCTATAATCACTACGTCTAGTATTTGAAAAATTTACACTTAACTTCTTTTTCAACAAATCATTACGAAATGAAAGGTGTTAAACATTAAAATGGTTTAATTCACATTATAAGGTGTTAAAAATTAAGGTGTTAAAGACATTCACTGTTCTCTGATTTTCCTACAGTTCCTGCTTTGACATTCACCTTCTTTCCCTCAATCTTTGTCTACTTAGACATTGGCATAATCCGTGCACGTGACCATATCTACAGATACCAGCATTCGCCCGCTCATTCAGTCGCCTACCTCTGTAGTCCCGTTATGGTGAATTCTGTACCTAGCTCTTCGCTCGCGCGTCGGTCAACTTCGCCTTCCTCCGCTCGAGACGTCCTTGCCGGGGACTCACAACCTTGGCCTACTTTGGGTCCGCTGTCGCCTCGCTTCTCTGCGCTTCGAAGCGCCGTCTTCTATCGCCCTCCATCCGATTCCGGCCAAATGTTCTCCCGAATTGTTTCTTGATACACCAGACACCGAAACAGAATAATAGCGTATTCTTCTTTTTCCGCTGCACTTCTCGTGCAACAAGCCGACGCGTATAACAGAGTCCTTACGCGAGTATGATAAACGGCGTATTTTGTCCCTTGGCGTCGTCTACGGTACACTCTCACACAGGCAGTTAATTGCATCAGTTCTACAGAAGTTTCTCAGCATTGACTTTGAGGCCATTTTGCCTCGTGCACTTTTTCTAATAAATCTCCACGTTTTATAACTAATCCCTTTATTCATACTTCTTAATATGAAAATTTCTCTATTCTCTTTCAGACTACTTCTTCCACGAGCTGCTGGGACAGTGACATTGCACGGTGTGATGCCAAGACATAATAATGTGAGTTCATCTAGTTACAAGATATATGTTACGATGTTACTGAATATCAAGGCAGGGTTGTTTAATGTTAAGGCATTCGGGAGGCAACGGAGAGTTTTGTTCTTGTATTGCGAGGGCGCTTCCAACCCGAACGGCGCCGAACCATACCGAGCGGAGCCGAACGTCTCAAACGGTCTAGGATGAAGAAACAGCTTTGGCAGACAACCAACTTTCATAAGTATCTGGATAATATTGTATAGTGGAATATTATTCTGCCATTAGTGGGTAGTAACAAGTTTATAGTTCATTTGTAATGAACTGGGAAACAGTATGAGGAAGATGTGATAATAACGCTGGGCAATAGGTTGGAAGGTCACAAAAAACCCACAACATTAATCATAATAGGGCAATTTAAAGAAGAACCAGGGGCTCTTATTATAATTGACATTATATTTGTAACTGGAAATATGACAAAACGGATATTGTTAATCAATGTGAATGTGATGTTGTAATGTTAGGATGAGTGGTATTGTGATTGTAATAATATTAAAGGTGCAATTATAAGAAAATAAATAGAAGTGGAAGTTATTAATGGTTTAAAGGTCATGCTCTTGTAAAAACGAACTCAAGGTTATCATCATCATGATTATAATCATCATGAATCCAAGAAATAAGGAAATAAAGGAAAGGTTGAATTTAGGATTTTATTGGACGGACATGCATGATTGAGATATTGATTATGTGGTTATGTTAGGAGTCATATAAAATAAATGATTTTTTTTTATTATTGAGTCAAAACGTGTAATCAATAAGGATGCTACCCCACTAGTGTATTCCCTGACCCCATTTTTATTCATTATTTTACCTATATATTTACTATCCTCATTGAAAGAGGGTATTGGTGAGTCTTGTGATGCAGGTGAAGCCTCGTGCTATAATTAATCCTACAAACCAACTTAAAACTAATGTAATCTTACTCGGCCGTCCTGGTCAGAGTTCATCTTTGGCCTCCGAGCGGACATGACCCGACTCGCGGGGGCGGCAGCCCTAGGCCCCGGCGTCTGGATGTGGTCAGGTAGCGAGGGCGGTCGGTGCCCCTCCTCTGTTGTCCGCCGGCGCAGCGGTCGGGCTGCTGTCGATGCGGCGCGGCAGCGTTGACCGGTGCCACTGCGTTCGCCCGGGCGCGGCGTTGGCGGCAGATCGCGCCCCGGCCCGGCGTCACTCTGGGCTGGCGGCCGGGCACTCATCGTCATGGCCCACTGCGACTGTTCAAAGTCAGCGCCCCCAAGGCGACGTGAGATGTGGCGATGAGGTGGCAGTGCTTCCGCTGGCGTCCCACAGTGAGTTGAAGCAGAATACCAATGTTGAAAGCTGAATGCCCAAAAATATAATGTTGATCGCTGAAGGCAGAAAGCAGGATGTTGAGCGCTGAGTGTCTAAAGCAGATTGAACGAGCTAGCGTCTTTTAGTTCGCGACGTACGCTCCGTGGGTCACGTGACCCTCTCCCTCTACGTTTGCCGCGATTGGCGGGCGCGCGTCACGTGGTTTCTTCCGCCCTACCGCGACGTCGTGGCGGACGCCCGCGCCTTGCCCAATTCTGCGAAACCCGAGCGTCACGTTAGTACCGAGAAAACGGCGTCGCTCGGTAGGACAGCGACCGTACTTCCCGGTGAGTCACAGGGTGTAGTCTGGCGAGGGTTGCGCGAAAACAGTATGACTGGGTTTTACAGCATCCCAGGCGTCCCTAAAAACATTCAGCGACAAACCGCGCGTTTTCTGGCGTCTTTCTCAGCGGCGCTATGTTCATTGTAATAGTTTTATAGAACACGCGTTGTCACCTAACTCTTGCGACAGTATAAATTAATTAATTACATCATTAATTAATTAATAATAAATACATACATAAATAAATACTTAAATAAATAAATAATACTTAAATAATATAATTGTATATTATATATAAAGTGACCGTACTCACCCTCGACCCTCCCTTGATAGGGTTAATAATCATGCAGATGAGCCAATAAGCTCACATTATTTTATCGTTTGATAAAAGTATTAATATGGGACAGGGAATCTGTTTAGGAAGAGTGATCTCGTTGATCGCATGTATTGGTTGTGCACACAAAAGAAAGACTTCTTTAAAAACCAAGAGAAACATTTATTATTAAAAGTACAGAGAATAATTGAATCGGGTGATCACCTCCACATAACTGCCCTTTTTTGTTCTCTATTTCTGCTATCGCATTTTTAACTTATAATAATGTCCGTCATATAAATATAATTACATCAGCTGGATTAACGTAAATGGATCCCTTCCGCGACTCACATTACCAATTCGTTTAAATCTCTATACTGACCCGAATCCTTCGTTAATTCGCCACCATTTGAATCTTATCCCCATTACAAGGTTGCATAAATACTTGTAGATGGCAGGGCCTCAATGCTATTCTTCACTTGCCGTTGTCTGGTCCCGCCATTCGACTGTGTTCGGCGCCTTCCGGGCCCGTCGCACGCCCCGCCACCGAAGCTCACTTGCCGCACGGGCACGTGGATCGCTAATGCTGATCGCCCTCCGTTGTCTTGGGACTTTCGGCTCCGCCCGGCGCTGCCCAAGAGGAAAGCTTCCTTCAAGCCGTCCGCCGCCGATGCTTGCTCCTAATGCAAAACAAATTGTACGTGGACATTTCGGTCGATGTTCAATAATATCCCGTCTCTGATCCGAAGTTATCATGCACAAAAATCAGTGGGAATGTTATTCATGCTGTTAACAGTTTCCGATTTCTTTTTATATGGTATGCTCATGTCCAGATATTCTGACTGCGTCATCATGCGTACTCGCACATTATAACACTCTTACTGGTTATCGTGAATATAGATGGGTTCAAATAATTATGTTTAGAAGTCACACAATGAACTACCACTGTCTTTATCGTTCATCTAGACACTGGTCAGTTCGCCACGTGGCGATTGTTCGTTACCGGCACTGATTCTCCAATTGCTCATTTATTCCCCGGTTGATTTGTCATCATCCATTATGTTCATTAGCTCACAACCCAGGTAACTATTATTTTCAATTATCCCGACTGATCACTGCGCTCGGATTATGTTCACTCATCCACTCCTTACGAAATATTTCCGCTCCTCTCGCTGGCCGACCCTATACTACCTCTCTAACGGTCGCGTTGCCTCTCCCGGGCTTGGGACGCGACGAAGACCCGTTCCTCTCCTACCACCGACGCGCGTCGCCTCCCGTTTTTGCGCGCCTATGTTGAATAACTACGTTAATCAGTAATGAGACCGATCGGGTCTCAATATCTATACCAACATTTTTTTCGACGTTTTATATCTTTATATCTCCTATGATGTAAGAAATACACTAGGAAAACAGATGCGTCAAGCGAAGCTTGTCAGAAATGCAGGAGTGATTAATGAATCTGTGTTCGAGCATCAAGGTGACTGAATCACTTCAGAGAAGAGGTTATAGAGGGGAGGGTACCCCAAGAGGGACATATTACAATGAACTCTAACGAAGGGAAATAGGCATCTAGGATGTTATGGGTTAAATTTATCATCGTTAATCTGGCATTAGCATGGTGATTTGTGTTTGTTTGGCTCGCTTCAGGAATGTATTACCATTGATTTTCACGGATGCTCATTGAAAACTTTTGATGTGTAGTCGTTAATCACTAGAGTATTCAAATGACCATGGTGCCAACCTTCAAAAGTTTCCTGTGAACAGCACTTTGTGATCACTAAATTGCGATGGTTGGATCTCAAAAACAATTAATGAAAATGTTTTTTAGTTACGAAGACAGGAAGTATTAAAACATATTAATCTGGTTTACTCGCTCCGACGTTACAACGTGATATATGATTATTTTCTTCAGTGGCCCCGTAAGAATAATTTTGAGACATGTTTCTAATTAATAAAGAGATATTCCTTTCCATTGATTTAAATATATCACTTTAAATAGCGGCTATGTAAGAGATTTATAAGAAAAAAACAGAAAAGTATGTCATCTACGCTGATGAGGAATACATGTAATAATTCTTTTAATATTCTGAGAGTATCATGAAGTAAGACAATATTGACTTACATTTTTTATTCAAATTCGGAGAACACACATTACTTCTGAAACCAAGATTCTGTCAGGGAGGATTGAGAGCTCTTCAGATATTTTTATTTCAATTATAACTTTTATAATAAAAGGCATATTTCATTTGAAATATCGTTTACAATTACAAAATCATCATGTTCAGAGAAACTTAAGTCGTAAACTTTCTGGTAAGCAAACATGTTTTGTGCACAGATGTGGGGGAAAACCTGGAAAAAATAAACTTGAACACCTCTTTACAGCAGGTAATTGTGAGAAAATAAAACGCAAAACAATATTAGCCGAACATGAAGCATTTTTCGTGGTTTTCACTGTTTATACATGTAGAAACAACTCGAACAACGGAAGCAAAGCAACCTTTCCGCGAACAAAAAGGAGGAAGGCTGGTTCACTGCACAGGCGCTGGGGGCGCTGGAGGCGCGGGTGCGCGAGATTGCGCCGGAAATGAATACACGGCGCCGGAAGTGGCAGTTATGGCCCCTCGAGACGGATAGAGCCTGCTTTCCTTTTTTGCCAGCGTTGTTTGTTGCCGCCCTTTTTCGTGTCCTGTGTACTCGCGCGCCTGGAGGCGTCTCGGGCGCGGAATAGCCGCCGCGGAAAGCGAGACGGATGCAGAGTGGAGAGACTCCACGTGGACCACTGTCGGATTCAGAAAGAATTTCAGGGGCCAATTGCTGTTCAAAGCTCCTTAAATATTTTTCATATACTTTTTTAATTATTAGCATGAAATAAAAATGTATGAGTACTTCCATAATAGGAATGCTACTTTCAATGTGAAGATGATGATGATAATAATAATAATAATAATAATAATAATAATAATAATAATAATAATAATAATATGGGGTAGGGAAATGGCTTGAGGAATTGGCGACCCCATCGCCGCACAGTAGAGAGGGGGCTGTGCAATCAGCCAGGTTTCCTCTACCTACAAAGGGGCGCTGCCCTCTGTTCTCCCCCACATATCTTCTCTTTCATATTTCGCCCTTCCCCTTTCAAGGGGAGTAAGTCGGTAGATCGAATAACTCACTTTCTTCCGTTACTTAAATCCCAGACATTTTCCATCTGAAAAAGTGATTGCAAGGGTGATTAAGAAAAAGAATAACTGGAAGACGCCAGGTCCCGATAAAAAAACAACATTTTTGGCTGAAGCCACTAGTGTTTGCACATGAAGCTCTAGCAAGATGTTTCTCCGAAGCATTATCCGATCCCAAAAAAATCTCTATCTTTCTAACTGAAGGGATCACATCTGATGTACAAAAAGGGGACTCTTCGAAGCTCGAAAACTATCGGACAGTCTTCGTGTTTATCTGTATTATATAAGTTGTTCACTGCTGTAGTAAATGAAGACATATACAAACAATGTGAAACAAATCGCATTTCTGCAGAACAAAAGGGATGTGTCCATGGAACATTGGGCTGCAAACAGCAACTTACCATCGACGCTATAATACTGAAGCAGGTGCAAACTGAGAAGCGAAATCTACATGTATACTATCTACATTACACAAAGGCATACGATTCAGTCCGTCACGACTGGCTATTGAAAGTTCTTAATATTTACAAAATATCTCCGGGAATTATTAAATACTTGAAGGCAATGATGTTGACGTGGAGTATAAACTTTCATATTAAAAATAGAAAAATTACATCTATTAACTTCAGAAGAGAAATATTCCAAGGAAATTCCCTCTTTGGCAATGTGGTTTTGTTTTGCCATCAACTCATTATCTGCACTACTGCAAGAAAGCAAGCCTTGAAAATAAGAAAAGAAACTATTATCTGAAATATTACATGTGTACAAATAAAGGAATACGAAGACATACAAGAATAAATGCGACAAGAACAATTACAAAAGAACAGCTAGGTGAAGGAAACTGGAAGAGCAAAAGTACTGAGTAAGGGCGGAAACAAAAGATCGTTTGAAATGCGAAAGTGAACAAACTGTGCAGTGCAAGGATGGAGGAAAAGCAGAAGGCCAAGGTAAATAAAGAAAAAGATAATCTATGTGTACGAAGTTAACCAGGAATAGCGAAATTAATACCTGCAAACGAAAGCAGAATGTACTACTCGAATAATTCGTAACTGACGACATTTGTGAAGGAAGAAATAAAGAATACTTGGAGGTGAAGGCAAGAAAGAGGCAAAAGGGAAAGCAACAAGCAAAAAGGATCTTCAAGCAACAAAAGGTAGAGGTTGGAGAGAAGGGGAGACCTACGACACATGTGGGGGAACAGCTTTATGATTTTGGGGGGCGACGCTTGTCGTAAATAATGTGCGAGTGAGGGGTGAGTAGTTTCTTGATCTCGAGCGCGAGGCTTTTTTCGGTGCTTCACAAACCTCAAATGGCTGTTTCAAAAAGGGAAATTTTAATATCAATGGACTTATCAATTATATTTTGTCACGAATTCTTTTATAGAATTTTAGTTGAGACGCAAAAGAAACTCACCAAACTAAATGAAGTATTTACAAGTCAAAATATCAAACTGTGTACTTCTTAATTCATCATTACACGTACTACCCGGTACGAATAACTTAATTTGTTTAACTAAATGAATCGACGAGTTTGTTGGTTATTACATCAATTTTCCTGGTATGCGAATTATGCGATTCGATTTTTAACACTAGAATATTAAATTAATATATACATTCATCTTTGATGTCTTAATCACAATAAATTCTTGAGCGATTTTCACTGAATACATAGTACGAAAAATGTTTAAGTTTTGTCCAGAAGAACTGAAAACTTTGGATTACGAAAAAATAATGAAGTTTAAAAGTAAAAGTGAATGTTCGATTTAAATATAGATTTCACATTGTTTTAGACTAGTGGCGTACAGCAACAGAAATGCTGCTCAATAAAACCAAGCAGAATGATTTTCCGAAAAGTAGAACACTGATAAAAAACAACAAATATTCTTACATATACTGCAATACGCAAAGCATACTACATACTGAAGTACACATTTATACAATATTATGTATAATATTTATGTATTATTTACTATAATATTATTATGTATGTATAATATCCCATATAACTAAATCGTATTAGATTTGGCATTTAGTGTATCACACCAACAACAATATTCTCAATTTTTGCAATTAACGCAAAGTTCAATAATTTCTTCAAAATTTAGCTGATTCACCAGATTTTCAGTATCATTCAGTGAATGTAATGAATTACATTACATTTATAATAAATAACTACTGTCATAACCACCACCGTAACAACGAAGTTTTTTTAAAACACAAGATATTGCTCGTGGTCAGAATTATTTCACTCCGGACGAGAAATATGTCCGCAAACCAGAAATACCCCGCTTTCTAAACGTATCTACTTTAATTTATATGTAAAATAAATTAAGGGGAATTCTAATATTAAAGGGGAAAGGTAAATACATTTATCCACGAGAGTATTTATTTTAAAAAGAACGAAAAATATTTATCTTATATTCGCTCACAAAATGTACGTTTCATACCAACCAAACTACAGAACTCATAAATTAATGGAAGAAATAAATAAACGAAAATCAACTAACAAACAATTTACACATTTTCTTTAGATATAGAATAGACAATCCCTACTGTCCACGTTTTCCAACTTTCCATTCTTTCTCACCTTTTTGAGAAGGTTTTCTCTGGCAGAATCTCGCTAATGTACTAACAGAGCCTCTGAGATCCTAAAAATGTTTCATTAAGCTCCGTAATCGATGAAAGCGCCGGCGCTTAAGTGAAATTCCTTTTTTCCTTCAAAAAAGAGCAATTCCTATTTTACGTCAGCCGAGAGTTTCGCTCGGGGCTTCAGCCGAGGAATATTTGGTGAAGGAGATGGATATGGTTAACGAGTGTGGGAAGCTTTCAATTGTTCTCTCTGCTGCCGGTTTTACACAGCCTGGGGTTGAGTTTGAAGGGTTCTCGAGATAAGAGAAATTGGGAGATGACTTCAATTTAAAGCAAAGACGTTCCAATATTGTAGTCTCTTGTAAAAGCATATAAATTACGAAAATGCATAAAATATTGCTTAAATAATAACAAATTAAAATAACTTCCAAAATGCTTGAAGATTTTCTTAGGCGTCAGAGGACCTATAACAAATCACAAGCAACACTAGCGAGATACGTACTCATTAGTCGGTGAGGATTGGTTTATAACTGATAAGTTTGAAAGCACGATGGTTTGATATTTTTTCACTAAAATAATTAAATGAAGAATATTAACTTGAAAGACCATAAATTGAAAAATATCTATGTTTATTTCAGTATACATGATTAATTTCATATCATTTTGGTATAATATACATAAAAAATGAAACATTTGATAACATGCACAAGATAAACGAAATACATAAAATTCTAACGATAGTATCATGCTGATAATTATTCATCTCTTCTATACCCAAATCGCAATTTATTTCCCTCTATCCAAGAAATGTTTATTAAAATATTTGAACCAAGTAACTTAGTCCAAAAATGTAATACTAAAGACATTTTGAGAAAAAATTGAAAATGTTAAGACTGC